AGCCTAAACCCTGCACTCTAGCCTCCAACTTTGGAGTGCAAGCAAATGTCAAGTTGGTGGGCGTGAGGTTTGGTCGGAATAACAAGTACTGAGAGTCCCCGAAACCACTATACCAAATAGTATAGCCCCCCCAAAACCCTATTCGAATCATTACGGCCTGCTCTTCGTCGCTGAAGATGATCAGTTCGGCATTTTCTGATTGTATACCACAAAGCTTGAGCCGCAAATTCCGAAACCCTAAATCTTTAAACCCCAAGCCTTTTTCGGCGCTGCTGGCCAGGAATGCGTGGAATTAAGTGATGCGCGCATCTGCGTCACGGAGATGCAACTACCCAGACCCCCAGGAGGATCTAGAAAGTAGATCCCCTAATTTGGGGCCCTATACTATTAACGCTTCTTTTTTGGAACCCCAATTAAGGGATCTACTTTTTGGATCCTCCCAGGGGTCTGAGTAAGTTAAGGTTTCCAGAACGGATCTGTTGTGAGGGATCTTTCAGGGTCTTAGGCTGTTGGGGTTGGGTTTTCGAGTTTAGAGTTTAGGGTAGGCTTTGGGTTTAGGGTTTAGGGGTTTAGGGTTTAGGGTGTGTCACAGTGCCACGGCGCGCCCCACCCATGGAGTGGTCGTGGGTCGCGCCGTCTTCGTAACGTGGAACCCACCCACAACCACCCGAAGCAGGATTAGAACGGGTTTTGTGTTCTGCTTCTTCTTATTCGAGTGCTGCACTAGCCGAAAAGACGTTGCAATGTTGCGGAACGTCAAAGGGACATCCGAGTGATGTAGTCACAAAGTAGCAGCGACGCCCTCGCTCGTCCTCGCCGGCCGCCAGAGTCGTCCGTCAGCCGTCGTCAGAGTCGTCCGTCAGGGCCCAGTGCCAGGCCTCCAGAAGTGGTCTGCAGCCGTCCGCTGTCCGTGCCAGTCCGGCCAAGAGTGCTGATCATCCAGTCGGCCGCCAGGGTTTTTTCGCCCGGCAGTCCGCCAGAATTGTCCAGCTTTGCCGCCAAACTCGCACTCCAAGCTCCTTGCCAGAGTCGGCCACTGTCCCCAAGCTCTTTCTAGGACGTCCCGTCACTGGGTCCCCGCAAGGTCACCCCGCTGTCCCCGCCAGGGTCGCTTGGTCAGGGTCGCCGTCCCCGCCAAGGTCCTTACGCCGTCCTTGCCAGGGTCGTCCGCCGTCCCCGCCACGATCGCCCGTCCCCGCCAGGGTCGTCCGCCGTCCTCCAGAATCGTCTGCCAAGCTGTTTTTGGCCTTTTTAGTTGCTGTCAAAACCAAGTGCCCGCCAGAGTGTCCGCCGTCCCCGAGGGTTGCCCGCCGTCCCTGCCAGGGTCGTCCGTCTGCCAAACTGTTTTTGGCCTTCTGTCAAAGTCAACCAGTATGGTCGTCGGGCCCAGAAGCCTCACCGCCAAGTCCCCACCAGAGTTGTCCGCCGTCCCCGCAGGGTCACCCGCCGTCCCGTCCGCCATCCCCTCCAGAGTCCGCCAGAGTCGTCCGCCGTCCCGCCAGGGTCGCCCGCCGTCCCCGCCAGGGTCGTCCGCCGTCCCCAAGCTGTTTTTGGCCTGGTTAATTGCTGTCACAGCAGAGTCGTCCGCCGTCCCCGCCAGGGTTGCCCGCCGTCCCCGCCGGGGTCGCGCGCCGTCCCCGCCAAAGTCATCCGTCCACCAAGTCCCCGCCAGGGTCGTCAGCCGTCCCCGCCAGAGGACTCGCCGTCCTTGGCAGGGTCGCTCGTCAAGCTCTTTCTACCAGGTTCCCCGCCAGGGTTCTCCGCTGGGAGATAAGGCGCCATCCTCTCCAGAGTCGTCTGCCAAGCTGTTTTTGGCTTTTTCAGTCCCTGTCAGAGTCGGGTCGCCCGCCGTCCCCGCAGTCGTCCGCCGTCCCCCTCCAGAGTCGTCTGCTTTTGGCCCTTTTGCTGTCACAGCAGAGTCGTTCGCCGTCCTCGCCAGTGTTGCCCGCCGTCCCCGCCAGGGTCGCGCGCCGGTCCCCGCCAAAGTCGTCCGTCCACCAAGTCCCCGCCAGGGTCGTCAGCCGTCCCCGCCAGAGTCGCCCGCCATACCCGCCAGGGTCGCTCGTCAAGCTCTTTCTACCAGGTCCCGTCCCCGCCAGGGTTCTCGTGCTGGGAGATAAGGGTACCCAATTTTACTATTGTGCCCCATGGCTAGCAGTGCCAAATCAGGTCTGGTAGACTCGATCTGCTTGGCCAAGCAAGCAGATCTCGAAGCGGTAGCGTTCAGTGGTACCGGCCGCCGCCGGGCGCGGGCGGCCAATGGTTTAGAGTTTAGAGTTTAGGGTAGGCTTTGCAAGACGCGGGCCCAGGGCTTCAACCTAGGGTGTAGGATTTAGTTCAAGGTCTCAGGTCCCTAAAACCCCAACCCTTAAACCCTAAACCGACAGCCACCTAAAACGCCCCAAAATTTAGGAAATGCGTTTAGACTTGGGCGTCAACCCTCAGTCAACCAAGCTCCCCAAACCCTACTTGGAGGGGCAGGGGACTTAGTAAGTCGATTATAAGTAGGGTGATAATTGGGGTCACTCCATTGGTTACTTATAGCTCTACTTATATATATATATATATATCCTACTTACTAAGTCCTCTGCCCCTCCAAGTAAGCCCTAAACCCCAAATGCTGAAGGACCCCGCTACTACGAACGAAGATTCCGCCACGGGTACCTATGGCAGTTTGTGCTGTCGGGGGAACGTTGCTGGGGGAGGGTGAGTTGGGGGTCTGTGGTGCCTTGGGGCACCGCGCCTCCAGGCCCGACCTGCTGCTTCCGTTGGCTCCCAGTATCACAACCCACTGATTCTATCCAACAACGCGGGCACCATGACTCATGGCCCGACCTGCTGCCTCCGGGGGTCGAAAGTAGCTGCATGGCTCGTGCTTTGGACACCGGCTTCTGCTCTTAAGGACTTAATAGGAACGTTTGCTGGGCAGGTGATCCTCGGGGTGTGTGCCGCAATGGTTCGCTGCCCCTTACAGCCCTCTGTGCTGCGCCTTGGGGCTGTTGCTCGTGATCTTATGCTTGCTTCTGAAGCATTTGTGGCGCAGGCTTCCCTCGCTTGCCATTTGTTGTTTCTTTCATTCATGCCGCGCGACGTCGACGACACATTTTGGACTGGACGGCCTACGTTTTCGCTCTAAACCGCGAGCCGACCGGGAGATGCGCGAACGGACGAGACGGGGATGGGATGGGATGGGACGGGGATGGGGATGGGGACGGGTGCGACACCGGCGACGGCGACAAGGACGGGGCCAGGACGGGATGGGACGGACGCAGGGACGGGGACCGGGGAGGTTGCGAGGACGAAACGGGGATGCGGAAAAATGGAAACAGGGGAGGAACGCATCCGGAGCGCAACATCGTTTTTTTAATATTAGCCGCTGTATTAGCCCGTTATTAATAAGAAATGCAGTACTTTTTCTAGGGCTGCCCAAACGCCAAACGCTTCTTTTCGGGAAACCGAAAGGCCAGCATTCTCTGCCATGTTTGTCCCGCAACCCGTAGGTTTGCCCCCGCATCTTCGCTGTTGACCACATTGCGCAGGAATCAACGGACGTATTGACGTCAGGGTTTAGCGTCTGATGCGAGTTCACGTTGCTTTGCATTGCCTGTTCCTGTGCCGTATATCCGTAATACACTTGCCAAACACGTGCCCACGCACAAGCGACTGCCGCCGACAGTCTTATTCGAAGTGTAGGACGTCCTCGGATTTCGGAGAAGCATTTGGGCTGTATTCCAGTGCGGCTGCAAAATAGCTCTTCTATATGAATCCGTTATTAAGAAATACATAACTGTGGAGTGGGCGGCTCATTGCCTGCTGAATTACAGGAAAACCAAGTCGCCCGCATTCGGTGGTAAGTTTGCCCTGCAAGCCGTAGGTCTGCCTTCATCGGCGCAAGCAGCCGTGTGTGTTGCATCTCGGCTGCCACACACATGTGTGTGGCTCCTGCAAACACGCATGTTTGTGTCACTGGATCTCGAACCAAATGCAAAATGCTTCGCAAACATGCCTCTGTTCCGTGAGACAACCGTGTGTGTTGAATCTCGGGAGCCACACACGCCACACACATGTGTATGGCTCCTGCGAACATGCATTTCTGTGTCGCTTGACCTGTTGCTATGCTTAGTTGTATTCCTGTAACACTTGAAGCTTCAGATTTGCCGATTGCGGCACACATGTATGCGGCTGAGAACACACACATGTGTGTGGCCAACCTTGACAAGCTGGCACGGACCAGGGCGATTCTGCACAAAATGGGGTGCTCAGAGTCGATGAACCCACGGGTGAGGCTCTGGGCGGTCTGGAGAGCGCGGACCTTAAACATCATGCTCGGCTGCCACCGGGGTTGCTTCGGCACAGGTGGGTAGTGTCAAGTCCCGTGGAGCGCGGACTCTAAACGGGCGCTTGGCGCCCCACCAAGCTCAACTACAGCGAAGTGGAGGAGGTGCCCGGCTGTCTCTTAAAGCGGGGGCCATCAGTAACCCCCCACCTCCGATGAATCTTCGCGCAGGCACGGGGGCCTGGGAGCAGGACCGGGCAATGGCCTGCTCTGAACCCCACAGGCGGCGGGGCCTGGGAGCAGCACCATTACTTGATGGGGTAGTGGCCCTGCTCCGAAACCGTATCACATTTACGAGTGCCCAAACAGTTGTGTTGCAAAGGGTACGCCTTTCGCACAGCAGTTGTGTTTGAAAGGGTACGCGCTTGACGCAACTGTCGTGTTTGAGAGGGCACAACACAAGTTGTTTCACTCGCCGCACACACACACACACACACGTGTATGTCGGTTTTGCAAGCTGATGGTCACCAACGTGTCACCCCGGTCCAGCAAACAGTGCACGTTTTCATGCTTGCTTGAAACACCGGTGTGGGGACACATCCGGATAAACAGAAATCCATGCACATGTTTCTTCGAGTGGATGCATTCAGGGTTGCGGTCGCTGTCTCTACATGCAGGCTACATTAGGTTTCCTTGGCTGCGTAGCTAGCTCCAGCTTTCAACAATGGCAGCCGTGGAAGAAGTCCTCCAAGCTGCAACCGCTGCAGACTGCTTTGACGTCTTGGGTCTGGAGCCAAAGCTGGCAACTTTCGCCCGTCCCGAGGACCGTCTGCGGAGGTGCACGCTCATGCAGCAATACACAGAAGCCGATTTCAAAGCCGCCCTCAAAGTCCGTCAGCTACAAGTGCATCCGGACAAGAACAAGATTCCAGGCCAATCTGAAGCTGCTGCTGCTTTCAGGGAGGTCATGCGTGCATGGGGCCAGGTCAGCGACGAGAGCCTGCGCCAAACCTACAGTGCTAACCTGAGAGCTCAAGCCGTACTCCATCTGCAACAAGCCACGGCGGTGGCCAGCCTGCGCACCGCCGCCCCGGTCACAGCGGAGCCACCTGCAGCATCGGAAGTGCCAACACCACCACTCCCAAAAGTGTTGCATGCGCCGGGCGGCTCTGTTCACACATTGGCGAAGCATATCCGGGCCCAGGTGGATGTTTACTTTCATCCTCCAGGCTATCGAGCCCTTGTAGAATATGGTTTAGGGTTCAGGGTTTATAGAATCATCGTAGAAGCCGTATGAATGTGGAACCAATTAAACCCTAAATCCTGAACACTATAGCTCCTAGACCCTGACACCTAAACACCATAGCCATGATTTCTGAGACCTAAAACCTAAACAGTATAGTTCCTAAACCCTAAACCCTCGAACCTAAACAGTATAGTTCTTGAGCCCTAAACACTAGAGACCCAAGCAGTTTTGGAGGCTGAGAGAGCTGGCTTTTGCAGCTTGAGTTCCAGCTTTGGATGAGTTTTGTTGGTTTGGGGTTGAGGGTTTAAAGTTTATGCTTTTAAGTCTAGGGTCTAGGCTTTTGCCTTAGAGTTTAGGTTTTAGGGCTTAGGGTTTATTAGAGTTTACGGTTTAGGGTTTGGGTGTTTGTTAGGGGTGTAGGGTTTAGGGTTTAAGGTGTTTTTTGTTTTGGGCGGGTTGGTGAGTCGAACATCTAGAGGAGTTTTGCCTGAATGAGACAAATTTCCAACCAAGGTTTTTGCAGAACACCCAATACACAAGCCAACCTCAAAATCTTTAAACTACAGAAACTTGCATAATTCTGAGTATCATCCACCTATAGTCCCTATACACCTAGAATAACCTATAATGCCATTCCTGAGCATTCCTTATTCTATATACCGATACTTCAATGCAGCCCAACATTTAAATCTTGGTATCAAGGCTCCTATATTATAGTACCTTAAACCCTAAACCGCCTTGAACTATGCGCCCCAGCCCTGAAAGCAAGAGTTCCAGGACTGATAAAATTCAGATCTAGGGTTGTAAGATCCCGGTTTTGCCGACGATTGCTGATTGAGCCATAAACCTTGCACACACTGCCCTCAACCCAAACCCCAAAACCCAAAACTATAAACCCAAAACCTTAAACCCTAAACTAAACCCTGAACCCAAAACCCTAAATCCAAAACCCCAGATCGCTGAGACGAGCCTGCTGAGGGGGGCGCAGTGGCGTCGTTCGGGTGCAGGGGAGTTTCCGAAATTTAGGGGTACATTATTTCGGGGTCCTTATAATAATGATCCTACTATTAGGGTTCTCTATTAGAGTCCCCTATTTTCGGGAATTCGAGAAGCTCAACGAACCCTGGAGAAAGACATGACAAGTCACCTTGATGCGAACAAGTCCGTTTCAAACCATAGTCACAGAGACTGGTATTAGCTGTCTAACCCCTATATGCCCTAAACTGAACCCACTAAACCCTAAACCATCTTTAGCCTAAGGCTCCATAGTAGTTCCTTTATGGGGTCATATGTAGAAACTTACATGGTGATCCCAAAAGGGAACTAGTATGAGGCCTCTGGGTAGCCTTTAGCATTCTGCAGCGCTCAGGTGCCTCAATCACAAGGCGAATCGTTAAACGTCGCCCACGCCGCGGCGATCTGTCTCTACGAACTCTCCCGCGATCTGAGAAAAAGCAGTGCTGCTGGGTTGGTGGTTTAATCTAGATGTCCGAAGAATTCGTTTCAATGTTCCTTATATAGTCTCGGTGTCGATATGCAAAATTATGCTATAACATACCCCAAGGCCCGAGGGTTTAGGATGTGGGGTTTACAGCTTGGGCTATCGGCAAACGGCTGTGGGCGTTGAGAAAAAGTAGCGCTTTCGCTGTTGTTCGCTACACCCTAATTGCCCTAAACCCTAGACCCTAAGCCCTAAACCCTAAGCCCTAACCCTAATCCTTAAACCCTAAAACCCTAAACCTAATCCCTAAACCCTAAAACCCTAAACCTAATCCTCAAACCCTAAAACCCTAAACCTAATCCCTAAACCCTAAAACCCTAAACCCTAATCCCTAAACCTTAAATCCCTAAACCCCAAACCCCAAACTCCACAAAACAACCCTGAACTGTAAAGCCGGCCTATCTCTAAGGTTCAGAAACGGTTTTCAGTCTCGGCCCAGACGCTGCCGGTATGAGAGTCCCTGAAACGTTGGGAGCCGTTTAGAATATAGACTCCAACATTTAGGGTTTCGGGTTCAGGGTTCAGGGGCTTGATAATCAGTGCTCTTCGTTGAAGCCTTTTTTTATTAAATCCGCAATGTGCCCCAAGATCGTAGAATAGTCATTAAGGCTCCTACACTATCCTGAGTGTAAAGATGCTGAAGCAAAGTGCCTGCGTGCTTGTCGGAAGCCGCAAACCCACACCCCTAAGCCACACAACTTTCCAAGACACCAAACCTCAAAGCTTTAGCCCTCAAGCTACACGCCCTGAGCCCCTAAACCCTTTGAGTCCTAAGTCCTAAATACTATAAACCCCCCAAAACCCTGAAAGCCCCAAACCCCTAACTCAGCCATCTCTGTACCGTGGCTCAGGGCTCAAAGGTCTGTAAACTCCTGATGTTTCATGCTTCTTCTCCTCCGCCTCGTAGGTTTAGGGTTTAGGGGGCTGGGTTTAGGGTTTCGTAGGTGGTTCTAGCAATAGAGGGTCTGGGGATGACAGGAAATGGAAAGCACAACACCGAATATCATGTGGGATCTGTTCTACGGATGCAGGTAGCTCCTTTCTGACTGATGGATGGATGCCGATAATTACACAGACAGACAAACAGACAGAGAGAGAGACAGAGAGAGACAGAGAGAATAGATAGATAGAAAGGTAGAACCTAGAATAAACAAGATAGTTGCGCACGCACACATACATAGGCACGTATTTAAGCCGATAGCACAAAGCTTGTGGTAGCGGAGAGGCGCATGGTTCGCACAGAGATTTGGATCAATGGTGGCGATCCCTTCGAGCAGACGCTGCCGTGGGAGCAAGAGCTGTCGTCGAGCGATAAGATCATCTATGCCTTGCTGGCGGCGTCGCTTGGCCAGCACGGCAACAACTTGTGACAAGCAGCGCTCAACCACGATACACACCGTGCCCTCGAATCACAGGAGGTCCCAAAGGCATGCAGATCTCCCGCTCTTAGCCCCGAGCAGGGAATCTGCATGTCAGAAGTTCACCGTACTAGGGTTTAGGATTAGGGATTTAGCGGTAAGGTCCTTTCTAATCCTGCTGCTGCGGGTGATCTCAGCGGCCTTCGATGCGGTAAGATTCACTGAGCCAGCTGCGCCTGCTATCTCAGAAGGATTGCAGTCGGGGTTCAGAGTTTAGGGTTCACGGTTTACAGTAGGGGTTGAGGGTCCAGCGTCTAAGGACTTGAATCTTGAATTAGAGGTTTCAACGTTGAAGGGCTTCAGTTAACAGTTAATCAACAGCAGGCCGAAGGAACGTAAGGTAGTAATGAAGATGTAAGGATTTTGTAAGGGTTTTGGGATTTGGCTTTTGCTTTCATTTAAGGATTATGGATCGTGGGACTAAGTTACGAGGGTTATAGGCAAAGTAGCACCTTCAATTGCTTCTAACCTCTTTTAAAGGTACTTATAGCCTGACTTACAAAGTCCCCTGACCCTCCAAGTAGGCTTTCAGGATCCGGCCTTGAGGCTTTGAAGGTTTGAGGGCATAGGGTGTCTGGGGTTTTGGGATGAGGGCCCGCCTCTTCTTCTCCAAAGCCGCGCATCTTTTTCTCTAAAGCCGCCTTTCCTTCTCTAAAGTTGCGAAAGCTGCCCCCCCTTTCTTTGAACCCGCCTCTCCTTCTAAACCCTAAACCCCAAGGCCTGTATCCTACACACTAAAGCCTAAATCCTACACCCTAAAGCCTGAATCCTACACCCTAAAGCCGAAGCCCTAAACCCTAAATCCTACACACTAAAGCCTAAACCCTAAACTTAAACCCTAAAGCCTAGATCCTAAACCCTACGCCTAAACTTTAAACCCTAAAGCCTAACTCCTGAACCCTAAAGCCTAACTCCTAAGCACTAAAGCCTAAACCCTAAACCCTTAAAGCCTAAATCCTAAACCCTAAAGCCTAAGCCCTAAACCCTACACCCCAAAGCTTAAATCCTAAACCCTAGACCCTAAAGCCTAAACCCTAAACCCTTTAAAGCCTAAGTCCTGAGAGCGCCAAGCTTCAGCCCGACCGCTGTGGCAGTTTTATGGCCTCAATGCTTCCTTTGGGGTACCTATAAATAATTTTGATGTTTGGTTTTTATAATCCCTAAGAAACAGTACCTAGAAATAATTTTTGATTTTTGACTATTATAATCCCTAAGAAACAGCTAACATTGTAATTTTTGCCAGGGTTCTAAGTTCAGTATAGCTTCTTCTGCTCAGAGAGCTTTGGGCAGCCACTACAGAGGGCCTAGGGGTACCTTGGGGTTCCTCCTTTAAGGGTTCCTATAAGGGATCTGTAGGGTTCAGGGTTTAGGGAGGTTTGTCATAGGGGTAAATAAGTAAATATCTGAATAAATATAGATAAATATATACATATATATAGCAGTACTATTCTGTGGGTTCCTTGTTATGACCATGGTATAGCAAACCCCAAAACCTTAGTCGAATTAGTACGGCTCCTGTACTAGGGGTTTTGGTTTACGGGTTTAGGGTTTGGGTTTCCTAGCCCAAAGGCTCCATGTACTATTATAATAGATACTTAAGCCTTAAAGGGGATGGGGTCAGAACCCCCAACACCCGAACCCCTTTCCATGGTTTAAACCCCGTTTAATCCTCATCTTCTGAACACCCAAGCCCTCAACGGCCAGTCCTCCTCAAAGGCTAAGGCCCTAAGCCCCGAAGCCCTCAACCCCAAACCAATTACAAGTTACAAGCTTAAAGCCGCCAGTCTGTGCAGGACCTTCGGTACCTTTCGAACCCCTGCAGCTTGGCGGGAGTACTGTGCCTTACGGTTTGGGGCCGGGTTGACGGTTTATCAAAGGGGAAAAGGAGGGACCCTTAGTGGGGACCCCTACCCTGTAATGGGCTATATAATGGGTATATAATAGCTATATTAAGGGTATATACCTAGGGGTCCTTATTAAGGGTCCCTCCTGTTACCCTTGGAGTTTAGGGCTTAGGTAAGCAGCGAGTTCCTTAAGATAGTTTTGGTTCAAAAACCACAGAGCCTTCTTCAACCACTCCGAGCTTTTTTATAGGTTCAACAGTGTTCCAAGAGTTTAAGTACAGGCGTGGATTGTGGGGCTTTGGGTTTCGGGGCGTAGGGTTCACAATATGGGGTTTAGGGTGTGGCCAACCAGATGAGTTGGTAGGGCATCGGGTAAACCAATATGAGGGATGTTTGGGCTTTGTACAGGATGGATGTACAGTTCTATTTCACCTTTACTCCTTTATGTTGTACATCTGGGCCGTAGACCCCAAAGCCTAAACCCTAAACCCTCAACCAAGTCTATTCGAAGCTCGCATTAAAGCCATTTTTCCCTGAGGCCTAAATCCTAAACCCTGCCCTGTTCATTCAAGACACCTGGCACAGGTTCTTCGGCTTAGCTGCACTGGGCGTTCTGATAAAGTGGCTCGGAGAAACCGTCTTTAAGGTTTAAGGGCTTGGGGTTTAGGGTTTTAGATTTGAGTGTGGTTCTGAAATCTGAGCTCTTCGGTGTTGCGAAAGTTGGGCGTCTGGTTCCAGATCCTGTTTGGTCCGAAGCATTGGCCGATTAGATCTTCTCCTAGAAAGCTCCATGGACGTTGTTCAGCAGACGCCGACACCGATGGCGATTGTTAAAATTACAGGAACAGCAATTCTGAGACGCCGACACCGATGGCGATTGTTAAAATTACAGGAACAGCAATTCTGAGAAGCAGGTTAGTGGTGCCTCGAGGGCGATGCCGTCACCCGATAATATACTGTAGTGTTACAGCTACGGGGGTTGCAGGAGATTGAACCCCAAACTCGAGACCCTAAACCGGAAACCCTGACACAAATCTGTTTTGCACCCTCTTACTACGAACCCTGAGCTGTGGACCCTGTAAGGTAGTTGTTAAACCGTATGATCGAAATCCTGCATTACCCATAACAAGGAATCCACCATAATTCCCATAGTCTAGGGCCATTAAGGTAATCCAGGATTTATATCATCAATCCCAAACCCTAAACCCTATAGATCCCTTAAAGGCTTAAAGGATAGCCTTATAGATCCCTCTAAAGGAACCCATTTGTATCATCAATCGTATCAGAGCTCTGAGTCGCTTGTACATTGTTCCCTATAGCCCCTGCTTTAAACAGGACCTTTCATTGAACACCCACCCTTCATCGAGCCACATTTTGTCCAGATTTTCCCAGAGCAAATGAGCAACGAAGAGGCCAAAACCCCGGAGAGCCCTGAAACATAAACCAATAACCCAGACAAGCCAACTCAGCTTATGAACTATTTATAGCACAGAATTCGAGCCCCCTCACAATGCTTCGCTAAGATCCCAGTGTACGCCCAATAGACCTGCTACATTGCCCACACACCCCTAAACCCTACCTCGACTTGTTTTGTAGCCCGCGACCGCAAAGACTCTGTATTCGGGCTTATATCAACCTCCTACAGAAAAGGTAGGTCCTGGTAGTAGGGTTCGGATGCATGCTACAACACATGCTCTCAACCCTGAACGCAAACTGTCGGTTCACTGAATTGCCGTAGTTGCCGGGCAAAAAAACCGCATAAACACCCAACTATGATCCTAGACCCTAAACAGGTCTACAGGGTTTCGACTCGACACCTGAAACCCCAAACCCTAAACCCTAAACCTTATAGATTCTGTCATAGATCCCTTTAAAGGAACCCTATAGATCCCTTTGAAAGAGCCCTAAACCCTAAACCCTAAACCTTATAGATTCTGTTATAGATCCCTTTAAAGGAACCCTATAGATCCCTTTAAAAGAGCCCCAAACCCTAAACCCTAAGGGTGGCTAGCAACTTCTCCCTGGGCCTGCTGGCCGCAAAATGGGTCTTGGCTGGCGAGCAGGTGGCCGGGTCAAGAAGGGCTGGTTTGTCATCGAAGATTAGGGGTACCTTAGGGTTCCTTTAAAAGGATCCTTGAAGGGTTCGTATAAGGGATCTATGGGGTTTAGGGTTTAGGGAGTTTCCGGTATGTCATATTGGGAGTTTCCGAAATTCAGGTTACCTTATTTTGGGGTACTATTTCAGGGTCCACAACCCAGAGACTCCAAAACCAGTTCATTAAGGAATATACCTTAAATTTTAGGAGGATCCCCAACATAATCTAAGGAATATTCCGTAATTAAGGGATATTGGAGGCTCTGGGCAGGGGTGGTTTGTAACATAGGGCCTCTGAGAGTTTTCCGGTGATTATACTAGAGAGCATGAGGGTAGCGGTTTTTGGTTCAGGGTTTAGTCGTTTTGGGTTTAGTCTTTAGGTTTTATGGGTTTAGTCTTTAGGTTGTGGTGTTTCCGGCTTCAATGATGTTTAAGGCTTTGGGAGCAAGCCTTTATTTCTGTTCTCTGGACATCTGGCTCTCCCGGCCAGGGTTCAGGTTCAGCTTGATCTATCGCCCTGTTACCTTTACGGTTCTCCTGAGCCGGCAACCAACAGACATGACCCATCGTGACCATCGTGTGAGAAATAATGGGACCAAGAACGCAACACACACACACACAACAATGGTTAGAATCTTATCGGAAGCTGTTAATCTGTGGTCAATGCCAGAAGAATCCTAGGAATGGTATCCTTGAATGGAGTAAAACTGCAAGTGGTGGTCCTTCTCGTAATGCCAAGGTGGGTTTCCCTCTATTCGCCTGCTTCTGCATGGTGGCCGCCAACACAGAGCTGCTGGTGTCTGCAGGGCTGGTGTCCCACTTGCGTGCCATATTGGTAACTTGGTGAAGGCGTCGGGTTTAAGGAATACCATGGCCTTTGACTTTCCGTGGGAACCTAACCCTAAACCCCAAACCCTAAAGCCTCAACCCCTAAACGCTAAACCCTAAACCCCTAAACCCCTAAACCCCAAACCTAGGGACCCGAAAGCCTCAACCCCTAAACCCTAAACCCCTAAACCCTAATTCCTAACCCCTAGAAGCCCTGAACTACTGAGAGCGCCTCAAAGCCGAGGTGAAGCTCGCGATCCAGCGGCAGGTGAAGATCAAATTCACCTGCATCTCGCACTTGCTCGGATCGCAGGTGGGTAAAGCCTCTTGTTCAGCGTTTAGGGTTTAGGGTTTAGGATAGTGCATTTCCAGGACGTCAGCACTTTCAGGCTTTACATTTTTTCGGACCCTAAGCCGCGTTTACTCACAACCCCCACTGCCCTGGTGAAGAGCAGCTGCAGAAGCAAACCTTCAACCCTAGCCCTAAATTCTGAACTTAGGGTTTAGGGTTTAGGGTTCTGAATCCCAACCTTAAACCCCAAATCCTGCACCCAAAACCAAGAATCCAAATCCCCAACCCCGAACCTGAAGGCCTCAACCACCAACCCTGAACAACTAGGACCCAGAGTAGGCCCTTATTCCCTTTTTTAGGGTTCGGGTTCCCTTATAAGGCCCTTTAAACCAAAAAAAAGGGCATCCTTTTTATGCCTGGGTTACTCTTGGGTCTAGACAAGAGCAGCTAAGTTTTGCGTCATCGTGAGCGCCGCCTCCACCGTCGTTCTGGTTGTGCACCTGTCGGACCACCCATTGAGACTTGTCGGTAACTTGAGCCTATCCAGGGCTACCCTGAGCTCCGGCGTGTCCTTGTTTTTTATTTTTTGGTGGGTTTGGGTCTCGGGCCTCGGGTCTCGGGCTAGTCTAGGGCTTAACTCTTCTTTGTCACAAATCAGTTTTTATTGGTAAGGGTGTTTTGTTTTCATCTTTGGATCCATTAGTTGCTGTTCGTCTTCTGACTTGCAGAAGGAGCAAAGAGGCTCTGGTCACCACTATCCTACATGTGATTTAATGTGTGCAATACGATAGTTGTCTGCCTGTGGTCGCTTCGTTGGAAGTGAACCCTAAACCCTAAACCCTAAGCCCTAAACCCTAAACCCTAAACCAGCGCTAAACTCGACTGCGAGACTAACTCAAAGCTCCTACCCTTCAAGGACCCCAAACCCAAAACAGGGAACCCCTATAACAAGTCATAAAGCCGTAGCCCAAAGCCTTAAAGAGCGATAGAAAGGTATCTGGAACCCTCATAAGACCTAATCCTAAGCTTGAAATCCTCAGAAAAGCAAGCTCGAACCCTTATGAAACCTAAACCCTAAGCCCAAAGCCTTAAGCCCTTAGAAAGGAAGCTGGCAACATGGCTGGGTTTCACCCTAAACCCTACACCCTAAATCCTAAACCCTAAACCCTAAATCCTAAATCCTAAACCCTAAACCCTTAACCCTAAACCAAAACCCTCAGAAAGGAAGCTGGCAACGTGGCTGGGCTCCACCCTCGGCCTGCTCCTTTGGGTCAATGCGAGCTTTAAGAGCATTGGGCTCATGTCCATGGAGGCTGAAGCTCCGGGTTTAGACTTTAGGGGTTTAGGGGTTCAGGGGTTTAGGGGTTCAGAGGTTTAGGGGTTTAGGGGTTTCGGGGTTTGGGGTTCAGGGGTTTAGGGGTTTAGGGGTTTAGGGGTTCAGGGGTTCAGCGGTTTAGGGGTTTAGGGGTTTAAGGGTTTAGGGATTTCGGGGTTTGGGGTTCAGGGGTTTAGGGGTTTAGGGGTTTAGGGGTTCTGGGGTTTAGGGGTTTAGGGTATTGGGTCTAGGGTTTGGGTTTAGGTTTTAGTTGAGTTTCAGAGGGTAGAGGGTTGAGGGTTTCATTGGGCTCAGGTCTTGTGCAGGGTTTAGGCTTCAGGGTTTAATTCAGACGAATACTGCATCGATCATCGAGTCGAAGCTGGATCATGACGGCTTCGGTTTCAGCGGCGGGTGGATGTTATTGTGGGGGCCTTAATAATCAGAATACGGTTTTGGGGGTTCCTTCTTCTAAGTGTAGTATAATATACCCCAAAACCCTATTCTAATTATTCAGGCCCCTACATTAGCGGAGTTGACAGTTTCTGTCGGATTGAGGGTTCGGTTTGGTTTAGATGCTTAGTGTTTCTGCGTGACTTCGCTTAAGACAAGACGTCCAGGGTCAGAATCTAGTGCTGCTGCTACGACTTACTACTACTACTACTACTACTACTACTACTACTACTACTACTACTACTACTACTACTTCTACTACTACTGCTACTTCTACTGCTACTACTACTACTACTACTACTACTGCTACTGCTACTGCTACTGCTACTGCTACTGCTACTACTGCTACTGCTACTACTGCTACTACTACTACTACTACTACTACTACTACTACTACTACTACTACTTCTACTTCTACTTCTACTACTTCTACTACTTCTTCTACTTCTACTACTTCTACTACTTCTACTACTACTTCTACTACTTCTACTACTACAACTACAACCACAACTGCTACTACTTTGCTTTGTGCCTGGCTCTGGAGTCGCAAGCTTCCGCAGGTGTGGGAGGAGATGCTTTAATTGTAATAAGGACACCCCCTCAAAACAAAAACCTATTCTAATTGAGGGGCCTTAATAATGACCTATACTATTTTGGCGGTTCCTTATTGTAGGTAAAGTATAATGGGCGCCGAAACCCTATTCTAATGATTAAGGCCCCTAGATTATAGTACCCTTATACATCCCTTGTTAGTAGCCCTGAAAGTCAACTTTTAAGGAACCCTATAATAGTTCTTAAGGCCCCTAGGTTATAGTACCCTTATAGATCCCTACATCCCTTAGTAGCCCACATGAAGCTTCCGCAGGTGTGGGAGGAGATCAAGCCCATCAAATCCTCTTCCGAAGAGAAGTCCGTGGTCGAATTTGCAGAGAGCTTGTCGCTCCAAAGCGGGCAGCAGGAGAGGGGTTGGGCGATGCTTTTAAGGGTTCCTTTCAGGGTTTAGGGTTTAGTGTTTAGAAGTTTAGGGGTTTAGGGTTTGGGGTGTTAAGGTGCAGGAAATCGGGTGTGGGATGTTACGGTTTTCGAGCTCTAGTTCTTTTTGGTTCGGAGTGCAGGGTCTGTGAAGCCCTGAAGCAGTTCGTGCTGCATCCTTGCGCGACCTGAGCGCGAACCCCGCAACCAGCAACCCTCACTTGCGAGTCGAGGCGCGATCGTGGTCTGACATGTGGCGCTTCAAGCTGAGCAATGAAGATGAGCTGCTCTTGCAACATCGACTACGCCTCTTCGTCGTTAAGTTTGTAATCTTTCCATCCCGGGCCTAAGCTTTAGTTGAATAGGTTTTGGTAGGGTTTAGGGTTTACTTGGTGGTTCAGGGGTAGTTCTAAGTGGGGTTATAGGTAAGGTATCTCTAATTATGGCCCATGTTGGGGGACGTATAACTCTACTTATAACTACCCGTCAACCTCCAACTAAACCCCATACCCTTATAGAATCCCTGTAGTTCCCTTTGATGGGGCCCTTAGGGTCTGTAAGCTAGAGACGAAGGTTTGTCTGCAGGTGCTCCTGACAAGCGACTTCAATTTTTAGGTTTTTGGGCTGCTTCCTGGCAGCGGCAACTTTTTGAACCAGGATGTAGCCTCGAACCCCGAACTACCCCCTATACGACCCCAAATACCCACTACGGTTGATGATATAAATCTTGCATTACCCATAATAAGGACTATGCCATAATTCCCATAGAATAGGGTCCTTAAGGTAATGCAGGATTTATATCATCAACCGTATTAAGGACCATAAGGGCTCTCTCAAAAGGGCCTTGCAGGCTCCTGGAGCTGTGGTTCAGGGCGTACTTGGAGGGTCTTTAGGGGACTTAGTAAGTAGGCAGCAAGTAGACTTATAAGTACCCTAAAAGGGACCCTAATTGGGGTTATGGTACTTATACGTCCCTACAATAACCAGTTACTAAGTCCCCCGACCCTCCAAGTAGGAGGCGGGCTCAGGAAGTTCAGAGCGAGCGGAAGTTTGGATTAGGTCGGGCTTGGGAGCCCAACACACCAAACCCTGAACCCGAAGCCCTTGAACCCAAAACCCTAAACCCGAAACACTCAACCCTACACCCGAAACCCTAAACACGAAACCTTAAACCCGAAACCCTAAACCCTAAACCCTAAACCCAACACATAAATTATGAGCTGGACAGCAAGGCCTTATGCAGCATGCCTACCCTCGGCGCTGGTGGCTGTGGCGCATCCATGGACTCATGGCTGCCTTGGGTCTAGGTGGGATTTTCCAATTCTCGCACCGAACTTCGCAGACTTAGAGGCACCGTAAATCCCGGCCCTATACCCTAAACCCGAAACCCCTAGACCCTTCCCCCAAGCCCCTAAACCCTAAACCTCCAGATATGCACATAAAGCCTAACTATTTCCACCCTTACTACGTTTCGGAGTCTCCTGATTATAAGCCCTAAACCCTAAACCGGAGTCTCCTGATTATGAGACTGAGCAATAGACGGTCGAGTCAAGGCCTTACTGCTGGCCGTAGCTTGCCAACTCGCATGACAAAGGGGCCGCTGAAGCGCCCTCAGACCTCTAACTATACTGTTGATGGACAAAATCCTGCATCACCCATTTTATGGAAACTACCACAGTTCCCATAGTTTAGAGTTCTCAGGGTCATGCAGGATTTTGTCCATCAACAGTACCACTCTGTCTTACTGGGCCCACGAAACTTAGACTGCAGAGACATGATTTTAGGCACCCTTTGACTGGTGCAAGGCTTCATGCTTGTCAGCTTCGGTCTACTGAACGCCTGCGTGCCCACGGCGATCATTTGCTGCTGGGCCTTGCATGGGTTCCATATTACGGTTTAGGGTTTAGGGTTTAGGGTTTAGGGTTTAGGGTTTAGGGTTTAGGGTTTAAACCATGAGCGTCTTGTTGCGCCGGCTTTATGTGGCTTCATGGGCTTTACGGCTCAATGTTCATGATTCAAGATGTTTGGGGATTGGAATACGTCTAGAGTTTAGCGTCACGTCCAGGGTTAAAGGTTTACGTTTTGCGGGTGTCGCCGACTCTTGGGCTTGGGTTTTGGGTCATCACTGTATCTCTTCTGGTCTCGTCACACCAACTGTCAACGCTTGAGAAGACGATGAGTTTTGGAGGTTTGAGACCACAGTCGCCCAGATTGCTAAGTACTGCGGTTGATTAAGGAATATACCATCTCCATAGTCTAAGAGTCTAGGGTCCTTAAGGTAATGCAGGATTTATATCATCAGCCCTAAACCTTCACCCCCAAAACCCCTATAGATCCCGGGATTTGTGGGGTTTAGGGTTTAGGGATTTATATGGTTTAGGGTTTAGGCGTTTAGGGGTACAGGTTTAGGATAAAGGGTTTAGCAGTACTTATCCAAAATCCTAGGTGAACCCTATAGAACATGCCTTCGTAGGGTTCCACATCATGATTTCCGTGTGAAGGTCCTTAAAAAGGGTCGGTTCGCTGGGGTGACAGTAGTCCTAGAAGCCTTCACTCATGTCTGGGCTCTGTGAAGCTTAACCCTAAACCCTAAATCCTAAACCCAAAACCCTAAACCCTAAACCGCTTAGGCTACTGTTTGTCTCAAGTTCCGCAGCTGCAGCACATGGAGATCGTCGGCGGGGCGATGCCGGACCTGGCACCTTAGGCGTACTTAGAAATAATTTTTACTTTTGGTTATTATAATCCCTAAGAAACAGCTAAAATTATAATTTTTAATGTTTGGTTATTATAATCCCCAAGAAACAGCTAAAATTATAATTTTGCTAGGGTTCTAAGTTCAGTATAGGAACCGGGCCAGAGTGACTACTACATCCAGCTGCACCCCACATGGAAAGAGGATGTCATGCTGAATCTTGACGTGAAATTCGGTTTACAGTCTAGCTTTTTGTGGGTGTACTTGGAGGTTCGTGGGTAGTTTTAAGTAGAGTTATTAGTCCCCTAATATAGGTTATATTTATAGTTATAACTAGCACTGAACCTCCAAGTATGTCGGACTCCTCAGAGTACTGGTGAGTCTGTACATCGGGTTGCCCTGTTGGTGATCCTCGCAACAAAGCCTCGTAGTTACTCTGCTTATGGGCAGCATCAAAGTTTTCCAAAGCCGTAATGCTCAAAACTGAGGGTATGGACGAAAGCAAAGCAGAATCTCTTAGAAGCTGAGTGGTTACACTTTACACTTTTTGGATAGTGTTACCCACTATGAGACTGAAAGTGTACACTTTCTGGGGCTTATGAACCAACTAAGATCTTGTTGATCGGCAAAGGGAACTAAGCCTTACAATTTGAAAGCCCGAACCCGGAGCCAGCTCATGCAGGAAGTTCGAGCTGGAGATAGGCGGGGTCTTTTTTGTTGTGTCTTCCTGTCTACAGCGCTTTGTGTTTTATTGTTGGGGCTACTTTATAAGCCCATGATGCTTTCTTTTGACAGTTGTTGTGGCTTTCTTCCAGGTGGGGGTACCTCACTAAACCGAATTCAGCCCATTTGCACTCTGAGCCCCTCTTTTGGAGTTGCAGGGCTTTCTTTGGGTTGTGATGGTGGAATCGGGAAATGGGGAGGGCATGGGGTTGAGGGCTTGGGGCATACGGTTCAGGTTTGGTTTTGCAGGTTCGCGTATGCAGTTCTAGGCTTTTGGGTTCAGCGCATTAACTGTGGCATTGGGGTTTGGGATTCAGGGTGCTCAAATCATCGCCGCAATATGTTCACCATGCATACTGTGAACCTCTTGTTGACAACCCCTTGTCTTTCAGCGTTCAGCGTTTAGGGTTTAGGAGTTCTTTCGGGATTTACGGTTTAGGGGTTTAGGGCACTATATGTGGATCACCTATTTTCGGAAACTCCCAAGTAGGGTTTAGGGGTTCAGGGTTTAGGGCTTAGGGGTTTCGGGCTTTAGGGTTTGCTGTAATCTGCTTCTAGGACCTAGAGTAGGCCCTTATTCCCTTTTTCTAGGGTTCAGGTTCCCTTATAAGCCCCTTAAACCCAAAAAGGGCACCCTTTTCATTCCTAGGTCACTCTTGGGTTTAGGCTTTCGGGTTCAGTCCGAGGGTGTGGAGTTTAGGGGTCGAAGCCAGGCCGTGGGGATCCTTCGAGGGTTTAGGGTTTAGGGGTTTAGGGGTTTAGGGGTTTAGGGGTTTAGGGGTTTAGGGGTTTAGGGTTTTGGGTTTAGGGTTTAGGGTTTTTGATCTCTGGGATTTAGGGGGTTTAGTTCCGGGGAGAGGGTTAGAGTGTTCAGGGGTTGTAGGGGGTTCAGAGGGCTTACGGGGTTTTCGGACTTGAATGCGAAACAGAGGCACTTAGTTGTGCTAGTGAGAACCAGCCACTCGTTCGCATGTGCCCCCTGCCCGAAGGCAAGACCCTTCCAAAAATCCACAGCTCTGTGTAGTTTGATTGAGGAAGGTTCCCGAATTAAAAAGGACGGATGTGGGGTGCTGGCACATCATAGGGACCCTTAAGGGGGTATCGGAGGGGGGTAGGGGGCCTTAATACCTACAATAAGGACTTAACACTGCCTTTTAAAGGAAGTATAGTCCCCTACCCCCGTAAGGGTCCCTATGAGTATATGATGATTTTTCTCAATTCATTTGGCGTCCTGTCAGGGCCCAGCTATCGGAATAAAATGCTCTCTAGAGATTCAGCCTGTACAAATACCTGTAAACACCTAATCTAGAATCCGGAATAATTATCAACACTATTCCTTCGGTTCCGAATCATATAACCAGAATACAGACCAAAGCCCTGTTCTTTGATTATTAAGGGCCTTTGTTATACTAGGCAATAGTGCTCTGGCCCAGGCCAGGCATCGCGGTATGTATTCTGTGATTCTGAGTCCAACTGCGTTGACTTGCAGCCGAAGCACAGCGGGGATGAGGCAAGGTAGTTTCTCCACAGTATCTGTGGGGATCTTGCCCATATTCAGGCAATCGCTATAATTCTTATAATGCACATGGTCTCTGAAAGCTGGTTGTATTTAGTATAATTAGTACAGTTCGTATAATTAGCGAAGTTACTATCTGTATTGGACGTGTTATGGGCTAGCCCTATGTCTTGTTCTTTAGACTTCTCCAGTTGTGTCCGAGGGTGCAGGGGTTTGTGAGTGTGGGTGAAAAGCGCACCCCGAATCCCCTTCCTGTCAACTTAGAAATCAAGAGCCTAAACCCTAAACCAAAAGACTGTAGCAAAAACTTAACCTGAACAAGAATTCACCTTGGCGTGATTCGTGCAACTGCATCTTGCGTCCTCATGCCAGGATCTCAAACCTTTGGGAGTTACCATGTTTCAACAGTGGAACTTCGCCCAACATTCCTTTGGGAGTTTCCTTCTTCATGGTGGAACTTTACACGGCATAGACGTTGAATCCTAGATCCTTCAGTTCCGATGTTGAAATTGGGATTTGAGGATATCTGTTGCCGTCGGCAGTCACCCAGTAAAAAAACCCTGCAGGTACGCTTGTCGGCCAAGATCCGATTGGAATCTTTCGGGACGTGCCGTTTGACACTGCTGGGGCTGCGCTCGCATACCTACTCCTTCACGGTGCTGGCCCTTCGCTCCCTCAGTATCGCTTTGGAGCCATCGCTACAGGTTACTTTACTGAACAGAGCAGGATTAAGGTTTCCTGCGGCACCCCCCCGCCGAAACGGACATCGGCATGTACTTAGTCTGGAAAGAAAGCTGCCTAAAGTACCCCCCTTAAAGCACCCTTATCCTACCATAATAGTACCCTTATACTACCCTAACGGTACCCTTGTACTACCCATAAAGTACCCTCATCCTACCGTTATGTTACCCTTCTAGAGACCCGTCCATGCAGGAATCAATGCCCCAAGCTCTGAGCCCGGAACGCAAACCACCGGGCACAGCTTGGAGGATCATGGGGTTTAGTAACAACAGTAATAAGTATATAGTGTTTTAATTCGTAACCCTACTTGCAAAGTCCCATGGTCCGATGGGAGTTCCCAGCAAGTAGGGACCATCATGTGCACTCAGATACAACTGCAATAATAGGATCCTGGGTATAAGCACCCTAAACTACCCTGGCCCCAAACCCTAAAGCCTAATTTTACGATACCCCCCCTTGCAAGCCCTCACGAAGACTCACAACCCGCTACTTACGGGACCTTGGGACTTAGCAATTAGAGCTAGAAGTAAGATGACTATACCTTTGTTATTATAGCCCCAATCGAGGTACTTCTGACCGTCGTTACTAAGTCCCATGATCCTACTCAATTTGCGGACCCCCCCCTAAACCCTAAACCCTAAACCCTAAACCCCAAACCCTAAACCCTAAACCCTAAACCCTAAAGCACCAGAAGCCATTGTAGGCCTACATGTTTCGGTTTTTCGGGGGGAATGCAGGGCTTTAGGGTTTAGGGTTTAGGGTTTAGGGTTTAGGGTCAAGAGTGTAGGGTTTAGAGATTTAGCTTTTGCGATTTACGTAATTTCAGTCTAGGGTTTGTTTCATCGACTCCAGTCCAGAACCGTATTCTGCTTGTAGGCTTATGTTTTGGTCTGCCGAGTCGGGTACCGAGGAACAATATCCTGCCTACGAGATTGGCCGCCGGCTGTACAGCGCAACTTTGCTCAACTCCGCAAGCGTTTAGGGTTTAGGCTTCAGGGTTTAGGGTTTAGGGTTTAGGGTTTAGGGGTTTAGGGTTTAGGGGTTTAGGGTTTAGGGAAGTTCGGAGGAATGCCACGCAGAAACAAACACAGAGGGGGCGGCAAGAGTGCGCCTGTGCTTGTGCACGCCATCAAACTCCTTCAACCCAGGAGTCCTACTTGGAGGATCATGGGACTTAGTAAGGTGAGCCTTTAGGGCTTAGGGTTCCTTTAAAAGGGATCTATAAGGGTTCCTATAATGGGATCTATCAGGGTTTAGGGTCTACTTGGAGGATCATGGGACTTAGTAAGTAAGGTTATAAGCACCTTAATTAGGGTTATAATTAGGGCTCCTTAAAAGGGATCTATAGGGTTCCTTAAAGGGATCTATGGGGTTTAGGGTTTAGGGCTTACTTGGAGGATCATGGGACTTAGTAAGTAAGGTTATAAGCACCTTAATTGGGGTTCTAAGTAGTTATAAGTATAGTTACCCGAATTATAACCCTAGTTACTAAGTCCCATGACCCTTTAAGTAATTCCTGCATCTAGCACAGAACCAGAGCTACATATAGGGTCATGAGGAAGTACTGTACTAGGAATATCTTCCTCTACTCAATGATCTGGGTGCATGGCATTATGCATCCAAGGCAAGCGCTCTTCCGCCACGGCATCTGCAGAACTTATCGCTGAAGGCGGGAACCTGACACGATGAGAGGGCTAAGGGCGTTGATAGTTCAAGAGCGGTTCAGAGCGAAGGTTCACTGGTTGGTGTCCAGAAGTTTCGCAGGTAGCGTTTCGGTTGGTTTTGCTTTCTGGCTTTCTTCGTCGTGATTTTAGGATTTTGAAAATCAGGGTCGCAGGACTTCAGGTTTTGACTTTGTTTCGGGGCGAGGGCCCTAGTCTTTTGGGCGGTCAGCTGCGTGCTGTGTCTTTTGACCGAGGTGAAGTTTGGGTTGGATGGCGCTCGCATCAAAATGGTGCCTTCGAAGCTTCTCTGTCGTCCGAAGCTGGGTGAATGCATGCAGGAGGAAGCCCTTGTCCCTGTGGACAGCAGCTTCTTTGTAGGCGAATAGGTGAGCTTTTGGTTTGTTGTTGTAGTAAAAGTCCCTAAGCCTTAAACTTTAACCCCTAAACCCTAAACCCCAAGCCCTATACCCTAAGCCCTAAACCTTAAACCCGATCTTCCCAAAGCTTTTCCTGAACCCCAACCCCCAAACCTTAAGCCCCAAACCGAAGCTTCCTTCGGATCCCCGGAGGGAGCCACACCAACAACAGCTCTAACGGTTGATGATAGAAATCTTGCATTACCCATAATAAGGAATATACCATAATTCCCATAGTTTAGGGATGCAGGATTTATATCATCAACCGAAACACTCAACCCAAACCCGTAAACCCTAAACCGTAAACTGTAAGATTCTAAACTCTTACCCCACAACCGCGCAAACACAACTCTAAACCCTAAGCCTGAACCTTAGGGACCCAAAAAGCACATAAGCACAAGCATTTTAATGGGGATATCCCTACCTTATCGGCCTTCGGTGTAAGGGGGTTTATATGGGATATCCCTATCCTTATTTTTGCTTATGTGCCTTTTTGGGGGCCCTAATTTTAAGAATCTGAAGAAGAGCCCCTGCCCTGACCCGACAACCTGAACCCTCAAAGGCTTCAGGGTTTAGGGGTTTAGGTTTTATGAGGTTTATGTGCTTTTTGGGGTCTCTAGAACCGTAAGATTGACAAGCCCCAAAACCTTGGAACTCTAAACCCTGAGCCCAGAACTGCGAAAACACAACTTCTATGCCAGAAGCGCTCTACGGAAAGGGTTCTAAACCCGAAGTCCCAAACCAGGAGGCTCTAAATCCGAAAACGCCCCCCCAAACGCTAAACCCCAAATTCTAAACCGAAACCCTAAACCCTAAACCCTGAGCCCTAAACCCTAAAACCCTAAAATCCTAAAATCCGAAACCCTAAACCCGCACGAAAGAGAAGGTTTCAGCGTGGAAGTGAACTCGACGATCTCCAGCAATCTCACCTTGAAGCTGCTGCTGCTCCCGGGCTTGGGATTTAGTAGGGCGGCTAAAGTCTGGGGTCTTAGGGCCTTACAGTAGAAGCCAGAAAGTTGGAACATCACTTGCCTCATGCCCTTAAATCAAAAGAAATAAGTTTGAACCCTTATGTTTGTTCCCCTGGGTTTGTGGTTGGTTGGTTCGAATGAACAGTTGAGTGCTGCGCAAGCGGTCGCGGCTCGAGCATGGCTACGGCACTGAATGTAGAGGTGCCGCAGTTGAGAAATTTATCTCTTTGGCATGTAGAATCCAATGGAATTCTGCTTTGGTCGGTGAAGCCTTTCTTCGATTTCGTATTTACAGAGCCGAACCAGCCTCTTGCCTGAAAGTACAGAACTGATCAGGGCCTGTTCTTCCGTACTTGGCTTTGTCCATTGTGTGCAGCGCATAGCATCGTCTGAGGCGATACATTCTGACAGTGTCGAAGCAAAAAAAGGCCATCTGCAAGTGGCATCAACGATTATATCCTGGAGCACATGTCCCGTCCATTTATGTATCTCGATGATGTTAAGTCTTAAATCAAAGCTTCGCTGCAGCGTGCAAGCACAGATAATGTCATCAATGCCCAACCCTGTAGTGACTGCAGGTGCAGCGCGCACAAGGTCAGGGTGGGCGAAAGGCCATCCTGGACGAGAACTTGATTGATTCGAATCTTCTCACGGATCTGATTGAGCCGGCGGTGTCCCCGACGAGCATGATCGCGGCCCAGATGATGTCTTGGATCCTGGGGTCGCGACGGTCAGATGAGAAGGCAAGGAGGAAATTTGGCGTCATTCAGTGTTACGCCTTCCTGGGGCACAACTGTGCCAAGCTTGGCTTGTTGCGTTTTGTTGCGCGAGCCAAGGGCAGCCAAAGCAATGCAATGTTGGTTATCTCCGTTGCGGCAGCACGAAGACTTACTTGAGGTGCAACTTAGACAGGCACGCATGCAGTAGGAAGCAACTGTGCAGCATGTTCTCCATTGTGTCCAAGTTATAGTGCCAGGCGACGATTCGTGTGAATCAGGGCCGAGTTCTGCTTGGCTCCTGCGCAGAGCTTGCGGGGGAAACTTGGTGGCATGCCTACACAAGCTGGTTTGCCCAGCAGTCCACGGAGGAGGCGGCATCGGATTGTAGCAATGATCTCCGTCTGTTCGAACAGAGTGACCCTTGACAGCACGCAGCTGAAAAATCCAAGGTCGTATGGAGTGTAGTTGTGTCCGCGGACACACGAGCCTAAGGTCACCTCACCAGATATTGGTGTCTTGGTGAGTACGTTGCTGTACAACGGCAGTGACGCCTGCGTGGTCATGGCTGTTCAGGTGTTGCAAAGTGCCATCCAGCACCTGATTCAGGCAACCCTAGACATTCACAACAGAGAGCCACAGGCTGTTCAGATAGTCCCATCGAGATGTGGGGCGGTCTTCGATCGGCGAATGGTGGGCCCACTCATAGCTCAGATGACCGAGGAACGCTGTCTGTTGCACCCCTGCTTGCTTCCAGTTGCCTTGCAAACAATAAGCATCATAAGCAACCGTGCAGGACGGCTTCAGGAAGCTGGAAGACGTGCTGACAAGCCACGGCATGTCTCGATCTTTCGCGAGCAGCACGATCTACCCTGCAGCTCGGTTCGGATATCGATAACAAGCTCCTACACGCAATATGACACGAATGTCTGCTGTCTGGTGCGCTTAGCTTAGGAGTATGGCTCGGCATACCGATTACGTGCCCACACTGAATTCCGCGATTTGGTGTACCACCAGGCCTCTGACCATGAGTGTGTGCACGTGCCTGTGCGTGTGCAAGTGCGTCTGGGTGAGCTTGTACGGCCGTGTGTGTGTGTTTGTGTTTGCGTGTGTGTTTTTTGTAGACATGCTTTGCTCTCCCACACGTGTCTCTTGGACAGACCTGTTTCGATGCCGGGACCGCTGGCAATGTCAAGTACATGTTTGGCGTCTTCTTCAGCCCGGAGACAAACCAGGCGGCCGTCCTTCCACCTCAGGTGCGCCCCAGCCCTCTGAGCCGTGTTTTTGCACCGTAGCAGGGGAGTTGCTGACGGAAACTTAAGGTTTCTCTGTGTTGTTTAGGATGTTTAGGGTCTTCTGCTTTGAAGCGGTTAGGGTAGCTATGGGTATAGCTTCGGATTCCAGGTTTGGAGCTCAGGGTTGAGGGCGTGCGCGTGTGTGTGTGTGTGTGTGTCTGTGTGCATTATCAAACACGTTTGCATGGCTAGCCTCAGCTTTCTCAGGCGTAGCATGGGTGAAGAGCGACATTGTTTGAGCTAACATCTACTTTAGGTAAGACAGCATTGTGGAGATGTGTTGCCAGGTGCAATCGGAGGTTGTCTAGGTTTGCACATTTTGCTTGCAACCACCCTTGCTGGGATGGTTGGCTCTCATGCCATTGGCTTGACTCGATGCTTCCGCTGGGCCAGCCACACTCTGCAGTGTCTGCTGCAGGTTTGCGGTTTGTCTGAGGTACAGAGTAGCCTCCTGACAGAGACAGGTGGCTCAGACTCAGACTTCAGTGGTGGAGCAGGTGGGTGGGAAACCGCGGCTGGAATGATCACAGCAGCCTGTGAATCAGTTTCCGGCTTACAAGCTGCAGACTTGCATCCTTGCTCCGTATGCGCCCCTGGGATGCAACTTTTGCCTTGCACTGTCTGAACCGTGAACCCGGGCCCTCTCTTAGCGTATCTAAAGTTTCCCAGGTTCCAGGGGTCAATAGTAGACTCGCTTGGAGTTTCGTACCGGGCCTCTTCGTACAAGCCGAAGCAGGATTTGCTCAGAGGATTTGGTTGTGTAGGGGCGTCGCGAAGGAGAGCATGTCAACTTGTTAATTATCACGCTGAGAGTGACATAAGGAGTTGGATGCCACAATGAGATCTTCGCTCACTGAGAGGTTGAGCCCTACAACGTGTGTGTTTCGCAATGTTTTGGAGATGTGGGGGGATCCGACCGAAGTGACCGCGTACCTTGAACAATTCCCTAGTCCAGAGATGAAGCTCCGGGCTCTCGATGCACTGCCCTGGTACAGTCATGGTTGGTGCGAGATGCACCAAGACTGGTGTCCGTACGCTCAATCACGGCTGCGTGTGCAAGGGCCGCCATGTGTCGATTGGTCTCGGGCTGGGAAGGGCCGAGGACTGCTGGGACCCACGTTTCCCACCATGGTAGCTGCCGGCAGCAAAGCCAAGAGAACCCGTTCCCGCACCGTGGTGCTGGAAAACGTTCCCGAGCTGCCTACTTCAGTCCTGGAGATGTGCTACGGGGCGGGGTATGAGTGGCAGCAGGCAGTGCAACGGCCAGAGCAGGTGGGGTTCGGATTCATTGCAAGGGAGAGGACTGCGCTGCTGCCAATGAGATGTGCTTTGTGTTTGGTTTACTACGCCAGATTAACTCCAAACCCGAAGCCACCCTAAACCCGAAACTGTGAGGAGCTATTGGGCTGGCCTGGACACCTCGCAGGCTTCGTGGACCCGCGATGTGGGCCCGCTTCTGGCAGAGGTCCACAGCAAGCTGCAGCGTGATGTTGGCATGCCACTTCCGTGCTGTGTCTTCAACAAGTCAGCTTTGGCGGTCAGCGGAGGTGATAGGTTAGAAGTCATATATACATGTCTCCGCTTTCTAAGGACCAGCGCCGTGATGTCTCTCACTTCAATGGAGGACCTGCAACAGGACACGGCTGCACTGACAGCCGCACGCAGATGCCGGGGTCCACTTAAGGGGCCCTTGGGGTGGTCTTCCGCGGAATATGGGAGATGCCAGGCGTATGTCAGGAGATGGCAATCACTGCCAGACGAGCGCAAGTGCTCCTGGGAGGATTTGATTGTACACCTGGGAGACGATCCCAGACGTCCCAATGGCTGGTGTACCTGGTCCGCCGTGTCTCATGCCATACCCACCTTGAGGAAATCTTCGGGACTTCTGGCGTCTCCAGCAGCCGCTCGACAGCTGACGCTGCATGAGTTGTACTTGAGTATGGGATACCCGACCTACAGCATCCTAGCTCAGTGCACAGGCGTCCCGTTGTATGATGTGAGTCTTGAGCGGTATAACAGCAACCGCAAAGCACTGGGCAACAGCATGCATGTTGCCTCGGTCGGTGTTTTCACCATGTGCTGTCTTGCATGTGCGCAGGCAAGGGAAGCAGACGATAATGCAGCCTGCTCCCAGTAGTGCACCGTTGCAGGTGGCTGCTTGTAAATAATTAGCGATTGAGAAGTGTCCACGTCTATGCTGTGGTGCTTGCTGCGCGACTGCACGCAGCTGATATCCTGCAACAAACACAAGGCCTGCGGTCAAGAATCCAAGCTGGGTGCTCTCTGCATTGTGTCTGCAGACATGTTTCCCCCACATTTGCCTCAGGGGTGATTGTCATGTGTCTGCATGTCTGCATGCTGGACTGTGCTTTCTCAGTCGTTGCTAGTGTGTGAGAGCAGAGTCTGATCTTCTGGGTCGTTGCCATGCAGCTGCCTGGGCCTCCCACGAATCCGCTGGGCGCCAGGCAGGAAAGATCGATTGGAGGGGTTCAGGCGCGCTGTTTCCATTTGCAGGCCTCCGCTACTAGCCGCGCCTGCTGCGTGGGGTGTGCCCATGATGGCATCCGCCCCGCCACCGCCTGCAACAGTGCCCGGACCTGGGGCACCAGCACCAATGATGGCTCCTCAGCACTGGCAGCAACCGCAGCAGGTGCAACAACTACCGCAGCAGCTGCAGCAACCGCCGCAGCAGCAGATACCACCGTCTTGCGTGCCGAAACGAGGCCTAGCCTAACTAAAGGTTGGTCGGGTGAGGCTTAACCCGAAAGTAGATTTTTGTCGATTTTCCTAACAGTCAGGTGGGTCGCAAGTCAAGACGAAACCGCCCAAGGGGGCGGCGACTGCCAAGCAGTCTGTGAAGCAGGATACTCTGCCAGCGGATAGCAGGATCAAGAACCTGGAGGACGAGGACTTTGTTTCCATTTTGCAGAACATCGATGCCGACGAATTCAACGGCTACGCGCTCCGTGACACAACCCTCGAAGAGAAAATGGACCCTTATCCGCATGTAAGGCTGACAGCACACCTCCGACTCACTCATGTGCAATTTTGCATGCTGCCTGACGAGTAGCTGCGTGTTTGCAGGAAATGGTATGTCTGCTGGTCAACGAAGTGCCAGACGGCAAGCTTCCAGGCACTATTCGTCAGATGCTTAGAATCCAGAGCTTCAGCGCAAGATCTATAGAGGCCGATTTTGTACTACCAAGGTTCCAAAGCTCTGCAAGACTTGGCAGGGCAGCACCGCCGTCTCGCGAAAGACGGGTCTGTTGCGGCCGACTGCAACTTGTTGAGTCAGTGGCATGTGCAATGTGACCCTCCGGTCATGCTTCCTGTTGCGCTCATTTGTGTGCTGAACTAAGTTACATCCAAAGGCCTTCTACAGGAGGCTCGGAGCAATATCCATAAGCTGCGCTTCCTGACGAGTCACTTCCAAGTGTATCCGGGGCCGAATGGGACGACCTGCCTCTCGGATGGGCGCAAGCATGTTTACGTGAGACACAGCATCCATCCCTGGCTGCCACAGATCCACATTGATCGCTCGACGCTTGTGCCGCAGTCTTGCGTGAGACATGCTCTAAACTGTTGGCGACTGTTCCTTGTCCTGCCTTCAGTGCTTTAATTCTGCTGTCCTGAGGACATGGGAGCCCTTCCTTTGGAACGGGGTGGAAGCGGAGCCTATCTCGAAGTACCTCACCATTCCGGAGGTGCCCCAACTCCAGATTGCCGAGGACGACCAGTCCGTAACAAGGCTGCAATTGGTTATACCCGTTTCTTCCTGGGCTACCTTTCGTTTTATTTGAACCTACACCGCAAAAAGGGTTATTGAGGGCTTAGCGTTTGGGGGGTTACGGTTACGGGGCTGATGCGGGGCAAAACTCCCGAAAAGCAAACCCCCTCTCCCGGCCCGGGAGAGGGGGTTTGCTTTGAGGCAGTTTTGGGGCCACAGCACCACCATTTTTCAGGGGTCCGGACATCCAGTGTAAGAAAACCGTTCTGGGGGACACCCGGTTGTGATAAAATTAATGGAGGCTTGCAATATTGTATGAACTCAGGAACTCAATAGATAAACCCAAGCGAAGACGGATGCTTTCAAGTAAAGGCCCCACGGTTTATGCGGAGAGCCACTTCACTGCAGCAACTGTTTACTACGACCCTTCCAACCAAGCCTAGCAATGATACCATCCATTGACCCTTGCAGCAGGTGAGGTCCGGGTCCATAACCCGTGGTTCGCACCGTTCGCTGCTGCAGTCGGAAAGTGGTGTGGGAGCCGTCGGGTGCCCCTTCGTGCTGTTCTACCAGGGCTCCGACGTACGCTTGCTAGAGCTGCACAAGGCTGAGAAACGAGTCAGCCGCTCGGCAAGGCTTCCTGCCGCCGAGGATTACAGGATCGAGCATGACGAGGCATCTGCAGCCTATCTGCTCAGCTCCCACAGCCTGGACGAGTCACACTTTGCTTCTTGACAGCAAAGACGATTGATTGTGCGCATGTTATCACTTACCATTGTCTCTGAGCTCTGTGCTTGGCTAAGTGCTCCACCTTGTTGGACCGCGCCGCAATGGGTTTGGAGCCTATCCCGGGGTACCACGTGTACGAGGAGCCTCCTCCCAAGCGTCAGCGACTAACGGTGCTCTAGCAGATATTGTGACTTGCGTAGTTT